ATATCTGTGTGTGTATGTATGTGTACATACTTTGATGTATGCATATCTGTGTATGTATGTGCACATACTTTGATGCCTGCATATCTGTGTGTGTATGTATGTGCACATACTTTGATGCATGCATATCTGTGTGTGTATGTATGTGCACATACTTTGATGTATGCATATCTGTGTGTGTATGTATGTGCACATACTTTGATGTATGCATATCTGTGTGTGTATGTATGTGCACATACTTTGATGTATGCATATCTGTGTGTGTATGTATGTAACACAAGCAGCGTTTCCGTCGAATTGTTATTCACGCGGGTGGTAATGACGTTCACCGGAAACAGTCCGAGGTGTTGAAGCTGCAAGTCGCCGCGGTGTGCAAGCTGGCTAGCACAATGGCCGACACTGTCATCTTCTCTGGGCCCCTACCTAGCACTAGCAGTGCAGAAGCATTCAGCAGACACTCGGCTTTCAACCGCTGGCTGTCTGGCTGGTGCCCTCGAAGTGGTGTTGTTCATGTTGACAATTGGAGTGCCTTTTAGGGAAAGCCCGGTCTCATCCGCTCGGATGATATCCACCCAACGTTGGCGGGTACATCCCTTTTGGATAAGAATTTGGCCCTGGCTCTAAATTGTTCTACCGTCAAATGACGGTGCAGAACTGAGGCCCGGGTACAGAGCTGCTCTGCCACAACCTCTGAGCCCCCATCTGTTCAGTTACTAGCCTCAGAAGCTAGTCAGATTGAAACTGTGTGTGTTCCTCGCTTGAAGTCTAAAGCACTATATGCGAGGAAATCTGACCTGGGTGTCAGACACAGTAACTTAATAAAAGTTCAGACAGACAGAAATAGTTCTAAAAGTAGGGTTGTTAAATGTGGATTAATGAACGTCAGATCAATCTCGTCTAAATCGCTTCTCACAAACGAACTTATAATAGACAAGGGCTTGGATTTGTTTGCGCTCTCGGAGACTTGGCTCCAACAGGACGAGTACGTTAGATTGAATGAGTGCACTCCTCCGACGCATGTTAACTACCAGAAAGCCAGAACTACAGGTCGCGGCGGGGGCGTTGCGATTATATCACACACCAACTTACTTCTTAGTCCCAAAACCAACAATGCTTTTCACTCGTTTGAAAACTTAACACTTTCAATCACCTGTCCTGGGTGGAGAAAACAAAAAGCGGTGCTATTTATAGTTTTATACCGACCTCCTGGTCCTTACAGCGAGTTCCTAACAGAATTCTCTGACTTCATTTCAAACCTAGTTTTGGAATGGGAAAACATAGTTATAACTGGAGACTTCAATATTCATGTGGACGACAGCACTGACAGCTTAAACAAAGCTTTCAGCGCCGTACTAGATGGTGTTGGTTTTACTCAGAATGTCGAGGAACCTACTCACATTCATAACCACACCTTGGACCTTGTCCTGACCTACGGCTGTGATGTCTCCAATGTTGACATCCAGCGTCAAAGCTCGTTGCTGTCTGACCATTTCTTGATCACGTTTGATCTCGCTTTGGAGGACTTTCCTGTCCCGCAAGATAAAACCATAATGAAAATAACCTTAAATGATAAATCTATCACAAGGTTCAAAAAACGAATACAGCCAATGTTGAATACTGCTGCAGGTGAACCTGTTCACAGCTGCTGCAGTTCCTCAGTCATTGACCAAACTGTGGACAACACTATGGAGTCGACCGATCTCAAACCTCACTTTCATATCTAAAATCCTGGAAAAACTTATAGCTGAGCAGCTCCGCTGCCACCTGCAGGAAAATAATATGTTTGAAGTCTTTCAATCAGGATTCAGAGCTCATCATAGCACTGAAACGGCCCTAGTCAAAGTCACAAATGACTTACTACTAGCTGCTGATAATGGACAAGTGTCAGTGCTGGTCCTACTGGACCTTAGTGCTGCATTTGACACAATAGACCACAGCATTCTACTGCAGAGGCTAGAATGTGATATAGGTCTTAGAGGAACAGCCCTTGGCTGCTTTAAATCCTATTTATCAGATCGGTATCACTTCGTCAACGTAAATCAGAACTCGTCGCCTTATTCTGGAGTAGAATTCGGTGTGCCGCAGGGGTCGGTACTCGGACCGATTCTTTTCACTCTCTACATGCTGCCGTTAGGAAACATTATTAAAAAGCATGGAATTAATTTCCACTGCTATGCAGATGACACACAGCTTTATCTGTCGATGAAGCCAAATCAGACAGATCAGCTAGAAAAGCTTAGTGCCTGCATAAAGGACCTTAAAACGTGGATGACTCTTAACTTCCTACTTCTCAACCCGGAGAAGACAGAAGTGATCCTACTCGGTCCGAAGCGCCTGCGTGACTCCCTTACTAACCAGATAATCACTCTCGATAATGTCAGTATTATACCCAGTAACACTGTGAGGAATCTTGGAGTCATTTTTGACCAAGAACTCTCCTTCAAGGCTTATATAAGCCACTTACGGAACATGCTAAAATTAGGAATTTCCTTCCCAAAAGTGACGTGGAAAAACTTATTCACGCTTTTGTCACCTCTAGACTCGACTACTGTAACGCTTTATTGGCAGCGTGCCCTAAAACCTCTTTGAAGAGCTTCCAGCTCGTTCAGAATACAGCAGCTAGGATCTTAACAGGTACCAAAAGGAGGGAGCACATAACTCCGGTGTTAAAATCACTCCACTGGCTCCCTGTGGAGGACAGAATAAAGTTTAAAATCCTTCTCTTAACATATAAAGCCATAAATGGCTTGGCTCCTTCCTATCTCCAAGACACGTTAGTGTCGTATCAACAAAGTCGAGCGTTGCGCTCACAAAACGCCAGACGTCTGGTGGTTCCTAAGGTCTCAACAATCACTGTTGGCGGAAGAGCGTTTAGCTCCAAGCTCCTTTTCTGTGGAATAAGCTTCCCATTTATGTTAAGGAAGCAGATACGGTCTCCACATTCAAGGCCAGGCTTAAAGCACTCTACTTTGATTTAGCATATAATTAGGTAATATATAATATGTGGTGTATATATTATATATATATATATATATGCTGTATTATGTTATATATTATGTTATATATCAGTGTCTCCCAAAGTGGGGTCCGCGGCCCCCTGGTGGGCCGCGAGGGTACTGCAGGGGGGCCGCGGGAGGTCATAAAAAAAATAAAAAAATAATCCATCCATCCATTTTCTACCCTTTAATCCATTTCTGGGTCAGGGGGGTGGCAATCAGAGATGCCACCCAAGTCTCATAGCACCAGCCCCTCACTGACCCTCTGCAGGTGGTGAGTCCACAGGAGGACGGCTGCTCTCTGAGTGTGAGCATAGCCTTGATCTTTCAGTGGGGGCTTTGGGCAAAGTGGGGTTAAGTGTCTTGCCCAAGGACACAACGACAGCAGTCATCAGTGGGAGTCGGTGGAGAAGGTGCAGAGGCGGGAATTGAACCCACGACCTTCTGGCCTTAAGGCCAATGCTCTGCTCTACCAACTGAGCTACTGTCGCCCTAAAAAAATAATATAATTATTTAATGTTAAATTTATAATGTTTTGTTTGTAATATTGAAATATTTGTGTTCATTATTTGACTTGAATAATCCACTGTAATCATTTTTGTATTACAATGTTTGTAGCAGAGGCTATTTCCCCAAAATAAAATAACCAGAAGAGCCTATTCTTAATGTTGTCTTCTTGGTTATTATTTTGGGGGGCCACGCAGACCCGACAGATTTTTAAGGGGGCCTCGGTGTTACTGAGTTTGGGAATGGCTGTTATATATTATACAATATATCTATTATGTTGTGTATTGTGTTATGTTGTATATTATGTTATATATTATGCTGTATGTTATGTTGTGTATTACATATGATATATATGGTATGTATGGTATATATGATGTATATGATATATAATATATAATTAGGTTTGTTTGGATCGGTTTGCACACCTGGTGTGCAATCCATGAATCTTGGTGCTGTAACCTAGCCTAGCCGTGGCTGCTGCTGTCTCACCTCCGTTCAGATACGCTCTCTTTATTCAAGGCTCCTAATATATCATTATTATTATTATTATTATTAATAATAATAATACAAGGTCTAGGCTCAAATACAGTATTGGGTTTGAAGTATTCATTCATTTTGGTTTATTAAATAATCTAAAACACTAGATAATTGGAATCTAGTGTGAACAGTTTTTCAAGACTACAAAAAGTGATGAAAAATAAGTCAAAATGTGATCAAATTTGGCAACATATATTTTGGCATATCTACCGACTGCCTTAAAAAAATTGCCAATGGGTCAATTAAACAAAATGGCTTTGTCCCGTTGGAAAATCTTGTTTTAAGTCTCAGAATGTGCTCAAATTAAGATGAAAAAACCACTTAATTCACGCAACTACCTCATATTGTATCTTTTATCAGTGGAGAATTCCTTTGATTGGCAGGCACTGAAGACTTTGGGAATTTCCGATGCACGCGAAGCACACAAATGACACAAAAGAAAGTACTGGTGAATAAGTGGCCTCTTCCTCTCGAGATTTTAGAGATAAACGATGTCTTATCTGTCAAATGTTATACGTCTTTTGGGGCCATAACCACAATCTTGTTCAGAACCATCCAACACAACCTGCTCATCACACACAGACAATATTAACCACGATTTATTTTTCTTTCTTTTCAACAATCCTAACCGCAATCTCTCAGTGTCTTTGTCCGTCCCTAAAAAGTGTGACTCCATCTCCGCACACGAGACACACACATGCGTTACTCTGTGGGAGAAGCAGGAGGCGGAGGCAGAGGGCGATCGATGAGCCCAGCCTAGTCTCCAGAGAGCAGCCTCAGAAGGAGCCCAAACAAGAGTGAGCTTTGTCCACTCCCTCTGTCTTCAGGAGGGGTGGGTGGGGGGGAGGGGGGGGGGGGGGGGGGTGTTGTCGGTCCAGGGGCAAAGGAAGTGGGGAGAGTACTTCACTGACGATGAGACGAGAAGAAGTCACTATATTTTTTGATTCTTAGGTGGTGCTGATAATGGAGCTGGGCCTGCTGTGTGCTTTTATGGTCCTACTGGGAAAAGGATTGGCTTTGGATGAGCAGTACAGCCGGGCGATAGTGAGTATGGACTGGCTTTACAAATATTTATGTATATATATATTTTAAAATGTCTATATCAGTGTTGGGGAGTAACGGAATGCTCTTTCTGATTAACTGTATTCCATTACGGTTACTATATTTTAAAGTCTAGTATTTACAATAGATAGTTAATTGCTGAAAATCACAGGATAAACGTATTTTCTTACAATACGTTTTAAGGTTAAAAAGAAAGAAAAGAAAACATTGTGTATTCTTTAAGTGAATATTCATGTTTTTATGGTTGTTTCTGTAAATGCAGATGTTACTATTTTTTTTCCAAACAAACAGAATACTACACAGCTTACATTTTAGGTCATGTATTCAGTATTTCTGGAATGGAGTAAAAAATGTTTTGTATTTTACCCAGCACTGACTGTGGTGTGTGTGTTTTTATCTGAATAACTCCATATCAGCTGTTTTACTTCACTTCCTGGACGTCTTAGAGGCCTCTTTAACACTTCTCTGGTGATACATAAAAATGCAAATGTTTACACTCAGAGAAAAATGATTTGTGTTGAGATTTTATGAAAATCTCAACACAAACGGTGAATGTAGAAACACCTTTTCCTTTTCAGGGTGTAGGTTCTGAAACAGGAAACCAGGTTCAACTGAAGACGGGCAAAAAACACAATACATGTATTACTTTGTGTGTTTAATGTGGTGACGACGTTTTGGGTTCTGCTGCCCAGTCTGGGATCAAACTGCCCTTTTTTGGCCTATGAATAAATATAAAATAATATCATATTTTTTAAGTTTACACAAATATTGAAGCGTTCTTTTCACTATTTGACTAAACAAATTGCACATTGTATTTTTCCCAAAGAGAGGGAACAGGCTAAATTAATGGTTTTAGACAATTTACAGTAATGCATAGTTCTTATTTTGCTTGTTTTACGAACCCAAAAGTCCCTCCGCTTACCACCCATCATCCAGGCTCCCACCAGACTCTTAGGAAATGTTTTGTCTCAGGACACAACAACAGTTTGGCACTTTACATCTGCCTCACTGTGGCATGTGTTGTTCCTGGAGGTCTCCCATCACTGTTCTAACCAGGCCCTGTCCTGCTTAGCTTCTGCAATGTACCAGGATCAGACTCTCCCGTGCATGTGCCTCGATCAGGCAACATATTGAGACCGTCCGAGGTTAGAGGGTCACATCACATCTATAAAAGCAATTCATGATCAGCTAATGATTTAAAAAAAAAAAACCACAACAACTGAGAGCGGGTTTTATGGCCACTGCCCTGCTCTACTCTACTCTACTCTACTCTACTCTACTCTACTCTACTCTACTCTACTCTAATCTGCTCTGCTCTGCTCTGCTCTGCTCTGCTCTGCTCTGCTCTGCTCTACTCTACTCTACTCTACTCTACTCTGCTCTGCTCTGCTCTGCTCTGCTCTGCTCTGCTCTACTCTACTCTACTCTACTCTACTCTACTCTACTCTACTCTACTCTGCTCTGCTCTGCTCTGCTCTACCCTACTCTACTCTACTCTACTCTACTCTACTCTGCCCTGCCCTGCTCTGCTCTGCCCTGCCCTACTCTACTCTACTCTACTCTACTCTACTCTGCTCTGCTCTGCTCTACTCTACTCAGCTCCTCTATATTCTATTCTGTCTACTCTACCTATATTTGTGTTTCCATTACACTTGAGTATCTGGAAACATATCCTGGGAACCGACCAGTGAGTGCGCTGACATGCTGCAATTTCCTTCCTAGCCGGTGGGGGTGTACCCGGAAAGAGAATCTTCTTTCCTCTGTCGCTCTTGGCCCAACGCTATACGCTCCAGATGTGTGTCAATGCTGAGGGGAGGATTTATTTTTGGACCAGTCTAATATTTCTGATGTTCCTTTCGTAACCATGGTTTCCAGCAGCACTGTGGCCAATCACAGTTAGTAAGAACACCAGTTTCTATTAACCTGGATAGAAACAAGGTCAAGAGAGGCTGAAAGAATGTCTGGTACTGATTAAACAGGGCCATATGAAACACTCCCAATTGGGGTAGAGTTGAGCCGAATAGAGTAGAGTTGGACTAAGTAGGGCTGGTGGAAACAGGGCTGCAAAATATTGAATCTTTGTGGTGTTCCTGTAGGACTGGCTGAGCAGATATGGATACCTGCCCCCTCCGGACCCCCGCAGTAACAGACTGCAGACCAGGGAGGGCATCGAGACGGCCATCCGCATCATGCAGAGGTTCGGAGGAGTCACGGAGACGGGGGTTCTTGGTAATAAATGTCACGGTTTACTGTTTCTTTGTCCTGGTTCAGTTTGAGAATGACACAGGTGTTTTTCAGACGCAGAGACGCTGAGGCTGATGTCGGCCCCGCGCTGCTCTCTGCCGGACATTGTGGGCAGTGAGGACATGCTGAGGAAGAGGAGGAGGAGGAGGAGGAGATATGCGCTGTCAGGCCTCAAGTGGCACAAGACCCAGCTCACATGGAGGTGAGCTTCCTCTATTTCTGCTTCTGTGGCAATACTTTTCACAACTCGCACGGGACACAACATTAGCAGAAGCTCAAAGTTACATGTTTACACAGAGTCGTGTTCACTAATAACACAAGCACTAGCACTCATTGTTTGTGGTTGTGAAGTCATTTAGAATATAATAAAAGTGTTATTATTCTATGTTTCATTCAATTCAATTCATTGTATTTTTGTTTAGCCCTAAATCACAACAGTTTTCCGGTACTTCATAAAGTTATTGATTCTTCAAAAACAGATCAGAAAATCAAACAGTTAAAATACAGGATATGCAATAATACCAAACACATAGGAGCCATTAGTCCCTAGAGAGCCCACAACCCAGAATTCTAACCCAGTAAAAGATATTGATTTGTAAAACGTCCTTTAATGTCTTGGATCACCATTGTCTTTAGACCCTCCTGCATCCTCCTGAAAAAACAATCTTCACAAAATATGGCGTCACACAGCCACTTAAGAAGTGTGTTAATCATGAAGGATCTGTAAAGTATGGCCCCACTTTGTCTGGTTTTATTATAACCTTGATCTTAAACACATTCATTTTGACGTAATAGAATAGAACAGAATATAATACTTAACTTTTATAGTTTTGTACCACGTCATAGATGTGTTGTAATGCAGATTCAGTATTCACTAAATCACTACATGTTTTAACGGTTGTAAAACACACAGAGTAAACAGTCCTTGTGCTCCAGTGTCCACAGTTACCCCTCTGCCGCCCGGTCGCCGCAGATGGACGCGGGTTTGGTCGATAACATCCTGAGCCATGCGCTAAAGGCCTGGAGCGACGAGACTCCTCTGCGCTTCCAGCGGGTTCACAGTGAGGGCGCAGCAGGGCCAGCAGAGGGCGACATCAGGGTGTCCTTCGCACAGCTGCTGCATGATGATGGTTATCCTTTCGATGGAGAGGGGGGCACGCTGGCCCACGCCTTCTTCCCCAGCGGCGACGAGGTGGCCGGGGACACCCACTTTGATGATCACGAACGATGGAGCTTCAGAGGTATCAGTCCCACATGTACCAGTGCCACATACACTTACTGTATACATGTACTTGTACTGTATACATGACCTCAATGAGTTGGTCCATGTTATTAGTCCCAACAGAAAGAGTCTTGTAAAAGTAACATGCTTATTATAATAAAAAACATTCTCTCTTGCATAATAAACAGCTCTGTTAGTCACTATCTGAGGCTTTGGGCTGAGACTTGTTGATCCTCTCTCTTTATGTCTGATAAAAGTCTGATAGATGAGACAGAAGCCACAAAGAGAGGTATTCTACAGACCATGTCTTCTGTGGTTTGAAAGTTACGTACCCCAGCTTTAAGAGCAGTTAACTCTCATCTGATTACGAGTGAACGTCCTGCTGATTGACTCCAGTATTCCAGTGACCTCCAAATATTGAACAGCGAGACGAGTGATTGACATGTGTTGTTGCCAGGAGACAGCAGCAGCTCCATCGACCTGTTCACGGTGGCGGTGCACGAGTTCGGCCACGCCCTGGGCCTGTCCCACTCCTCCTCGGACCCCTCCATCATGAGGCCCTATTACCAGGGCCCCGTGGAAGAACCACTACACTATCAGCTGGCCCTCGATGACAAGATGGCCATCCAGCAGATTTATGGTGAGTCTGGAGTCAGTATAGTCAGTATGGAGTCAGGTTCAGTTTCTTTGGCATTTGCAGTAAAACCACATTGGAATAACTGTGCAAGAGTCCCCTGAGAGAGCAGATAGTTCACACTAGAGCGATAGAACCTTTTTATTATTGCCATTGTTGAATTCTTATATGAGGAATAGAGAAAAATGAATTTTAGCCCATGGCAAAATCAGCCACTTTTACCATCGGACTGCATCCATAATTAAAACGCAAAATGCAACTATGATAAAAAGGGGTTAAAAAAATCAAAACAAGCTATTTTTGTTTTAAAAAAATTAAAAAACAAATAAAAATGACGTTGCTTTCTTCAAGGAGGGAGTCAAGAGGTTGGATCGTGACGCATTTTTCCCCGCTCATTCTCAGTGATTGCGTGAAGCCATTTATTGTCAATTAAACATGATTTTCTATTTTTAAATTTGAATGAAGGAACAGAAACTCCCCTTCTGACCTCTATCCCCAGTTCTAAACATTGTGTGAGATTAGTTGCCTTTATTTGATCCACTGTGGAGAAATTCTAATGACGCACAATGAAAATATTCTGTTTCAACACATCTGCCGAGTGCGGGAGGCGACAACACACAGATGTTGTAAATTCAGATGACAGTAAATTCTGTCATCAGGCTCTGGTTTCGCACGGTTGACTGATACTCCTGCTTGTGTAACTTATTTGACTTAGTTTTGTAACTTCTAAGGTTACACACGAAGTACTGTACAGTTTTTGTGTACCCCACACGGTGATGACAGAGAGTAGTGGCTGAATACACTGGCGCTTCTTTCACATTGTACTTGTTTCAGTGGTATAGGGGAAACTGGAGCGTCAGGAGAGAACCTGAGCAGAGACAGGGAGAACATGCAAACTCGAGGGAGGCGGAATCAAAACCCATGACGTCTTCTCAGTCTCGTCCGGAGGTGTTTCAAGCGCAAAAGTGCAGTTAAAAATCTATCTCTGGGTACAACAAATGTCACCTTGATGCTTGGACCTTCTAACTTCTAACTTATGAGAGAAAGAGGGAGTAGAATTTGCATTTTCATATAAGATTTTATAGAACAGACAACTTGACACCTCTGACTCCTGGAGCCAGACATAACACACGGACATAGACCTTTGATCCTTCACTTGTCTGTGTCAAAAGTGAGATACTAGTCTACAAAACTTTGGAAGGATGTTGTGTACTCACTGTTCATGAAGAAAACTTTCATCAAAAAAGGAAAAATAATCAAAATGCAGTACTTTAACTAAATCAAATCAAATCCAGGATAATAACTGATACACAAATATCCAAACTAAACCCAGGGGCAAAACAACGAACGTGGAAAAGTGGTTCTTCAGTGATCCGTATAATAGCTGGTCAGCCTTGGACCAGAGTCACCAACAGCGAGCAGTGGCTGTGGGGGTAATTAAATAATACGTGTAAAAGTATTTCACTAAAACCAGCACAGTCACACAAATTAAAATTAAACGTACAAATATCACTTAAGCACACGACTCAACAATTGTGATCTTACCTGGGCTCGCTCATAGTCAAAATGGAGCGCTCTTTGTCCCAAGAATTTGTCACCACAAGGGGGCACTGTCCTCACATAACATCAGTGTCTATGTGACAAGTGGAATACAGACACTTTTAACTCTTGAATTCTTAACAACTCTCTGCGGTTTGTTTCTTCCTCAAATATTTGTAAAGTAAGTAAAAGAATGCGTCTGCGCTCAAACCGGTTCTGACTGGACTGCTGTGCTCTGATTGGTGGATAAATATTAAACTTAAATGTGTAAAATAAGACAGAAAAACAAATGCTGGACACATGTCATCGATAAGAAAGGAAGGACCCAAAAGCAAAACTGGAAAAATAATAGAATTTATTTAGTAAATGGCACAAGAAAATGAATCCATGGGTAAAAACTAGGGACAAGACATGGAAAAAAACAACAATGGACCGAAAAAAGTGGACGGGAGCACAGGGACTTAACACACACAGGGAGACACAGGTGTGAGAGACAGACAGGAGGTAAAACGCACAACAAGAGCACAAATATATAACAAAATAAAACCAGATAAATTAACACTGACAACACATTCTACTTTTTTGCAGTAATTTTGTCTGATAATTGTGGAGGTTGTCTACATATTTGATTCTTAACTCGTGTTTTGAATGATCCGTAATGAGCTCGAGCCCCTGCTGTTGTTCCCAGGCGTTCCAGACGATAAGACTCCAGTCAAACCTGAGGCTCCGCTGCTGCCCAGTCCTCCTCCGCCCAGACCCACCAAACAGTGAGTCTCCTCCACTGCCACAGGCGACTTCACACAGGCCTCCAGGGGCCCGGACCTACAGGTTTCAGTGAGGGGAGGGAGGAGGGGGGGTGAGGACAGGGTAAGGAGGGGGTGAGGAGGTGAGGAAGAGGCGAGGAAGAGGGGGAGGGGTGGAGGAGGGTGGAGGAGGAGGAGGAGGGGAGTAAGAGGCGAGGGTGAAGGGGGGTGAGGAGAAGGAGAAGATGGGGTGAGGAGAAAGTGAGAACGCACACACTGCAGGAGAACGCACACGCAGCAGGAGAACGCACATGCAGCAGGAGAACGCACACGCAGCAGGAGAGCGCACACGGAGCAGGAGAACGCACATGCAGCAGGAGAACGCACACAAAGCAGGAGAACGCACACGCAGCAGGAGAGCGCACACGCAGCAGGAGAACGCACACGCAGCAGGAGAACGCACACGCAGCAGGAGAACGCACACGCAGCAGGAGAGCGCACACGCAGCAGGAGCGCGCACACGCAGCAGGAGAACGCACACGCAGCAGGAGAACGCACACGCAGCAGGAGAACGCACACGCAGCAGGAGAGCGCACACGCAGCAGGAGAACGCACACGCAGCAGGAGAACGCACACGCAGCATGAGAACGCACACGCACGCAGCAGGAGCGCGCACACGCAGCAGGAGAACGCACACGCAGCAGGAGAACGCACACGCAGCAGGAGAACGCACACGCAGCAGGAGAGCGCACACGCAGCAGGAGAATGCACACGCAGCAGGAGAACGCACACGCAGCATGAGAACGCACACGCAGCAGGAGAGCGCACACGCAGCAGGAGAACGCACACGCAGATCTGTGACCCCTGACTTTTAATTCATAATTCTAATTATTTTATGCTGTTGTTAGTGCGGCGTCTGTCGTTAAGCCCTGTGTGTGTCTCTTTTGACTCCTCTTTTTTTCTCTCAGTTTTGACACTTCTTACCAGAAACGCTGCAGCGGAGGCTTTGATGCAGTGGCCAACGTCAGAGGAGAAGTCTTTTTCTTCAAAGGTGCAGGAAAAAAACAGTTATATTTTGTCAATACACACAGACTTTATACAAATGGACAACGCTCAGTAACTGTTTGTGTCACACTCACTATTTTGGGATTTTTAAATATGAGTTTTAGCGTGATCCTGGTGTTTATATTGTGTCCTATATTGTCTCCAGAACTCTTTATACAGATCATTCCAAATCAAAATGGCCTGTTTGTTTGCTAATCGACGTCTTTAACATTAAGGCAATACACATGTGTCCTAAAAGACATGTGAACTCGAGCTCAAAACTATTTTGGGCTTAAATATCTGTTGTTTCTCGCTCTCTGTATTTCGCTTTTGTCTTTGTAGAACCCAATATGAACTAAATAAGGCTGGACTAGATGTTTGCCTTCATTTGCGGTATAACTCCATCTGGCCTTAGCAACCATGTTAGCAACACGCTAGCTTACATCTGCCCCTGCTATGGCCCATGGATCCCTTGTCACAAATGCCCATATAAGGAAATTGGCTCCGGCTAGCTTCTGTTCACAATGGCTCTTTGTTTATACATTAAAAACGTGATTGCTGTTCTTTCAGGTGATCAGTTCTGGAGGACCAAACGCGATGGTTCTCTGATCTCCCTGAATCCAGCCCTGATCAGAAACTTTTGGATGGGTCTCCCCTCCGGCTCCTACAAGATCGATGCTGCGTATGAGCGAAAGGCCGACAGTCGCATTGTGTTCTTTATTGGTGAGAATAACATAATAATAATAATAATGAAAATTATGATAATGATAATAATAGTAATAATTAATAACAGAACATGATCAATGCACAACACATGTTAATGGAGACATGAAGCCAGTCGTATGTAATTTTAGTTTGATTCTAGTTTCACAGGCTATGGGTCAAGAACAAGCGTCTTCAGTTCCCCAAAAATAAAATTAGGAAAAGGCAAAGCTATTTCTGTCAGTATGTTCTCATTTAATTTAAATACTAATTCAAGCATATTCTCTTTTTTGTCCTAACATTTCGTGTAAGTATGTGTGTGACATTTGCATCAGCATAATCTACTGAATAGACATATATTAAGATCAATTTTGCTTGATCACTAATACTCCAGTGAACTATTGAGTGTCACACTGAAAAAAGTGATGAAAATTAAGTTGCTCAAATTTGGCAAAAAGGATCTTCATTTTCAATTGCCTCAAAAATATACCGGTGGGACAAAGCAAAATGATCTTGTTTTAGAAAGATACAAGAAACGTCAAACTTGGAATGAGAAAAAAAAGTTCTTGAAATAAGACTTTGACTGTCAGAATGTTTTCAAATTAAGATACACATACATTTAAGCATTTATTACCTCATATTTTATCATTTTTTGCAGTGCAATTTGTGTGGCCCTCTGCAAAACATCTTTCAAATATCTCAAAACAGTTTTACAATTCAATGCAATTCAATATATTTTTGTATAGCCCTAGATCACAACAATTTATTTCAGAGGACTTTACAAAATCGCAGAATTCGCCGACTTAAATCAGAGAATCAAACACAACACATTGTTGGGGCAGATGACCAATGTCCATGAATGGTAATAAAGTTCATAATTGTCGTTGAATCTGGACGCTGCCCTTGGAACCTCCTGTATCTGCAAGGAAAAACTCAAATCTGGGTTGTGGGCCCATGGAAATTTCTGGTAAACTATGGCCCTCTTAATAAAAGGTTTGGACACTGCTGATTTATACCATGTCACTACAGACGACTTTTCACTCTGAGGCTGTAATCTCTCAAACACATGGTCAGAGATAAACACCTTTTATTTCTGACTCAGGTTCTCAGTACTGGGTTTTTAAGGACACAGAGGTGCAGAGCGGGTACCCAAGGCCTCTGTCCGACTGGGGCATGAAGACCAAGAAAGGGCAGGCCGTGGACAGAGTGGAGGCGGCGTTCACCTGGGACCACAACGGGAAGACCTACTTGTTCAGCGGGGGGCAGTACTGGAGGTTCAGCGAGGTGAGGCGGGACGGCCAGGTGAGCCGGCAGCTGGACGCAGACTTCCCCCGGGACAGCAGTCTGTGGAGGGGAGTGCCCACAGACATGGACGACATCATCAGCTGGGGAGAAGGTGCGTCACTAACGCTGCTCTGTGTGTGGAAACCTCGCTCTCATAACACAAGCAGGTCATATCGTAAAAATATACCAATACATTTTCTTAAATACTTTTTTCTGTTAATCAGTATTAGACTACATTCTCCAGTAGCTTGTAAGACACCAGTGACTCGGTGTCATGATGGTTTATGTGTTGACGGCTTTAACCTGCCCCTGGATTTGTGACTCCATTATGTCCAGTGGTGTCTTTGTGTTGTCTTTTGTATGGACCTTGATTCCGGAATAAAGATGATTATTATCGTTATTATTTTTATTTTTCTGTATTCATACAGTTTATATAGATTCATATGCTCTATTTTCTCTTCAGGGGACACCTACTTCTTCAAGGACGATCTATACTGGGTGGTGAAAAGAGGGCGTCTGGACAATGAAGAAGTCACCCCTAAATCCATCAGTGTGGACTGGCTCAGATGTCCCGCTCCGACTGTAATCCCAGCTCCAAACAATCCCAAAAACCCTAAAGACTGCAGCTGCAGCCTCCGGGGCTCTGCCTCTCCTGTAGGGGGCAGTGTGCTCCTCCTGCTTTCTGCTCTGCTCATCATCCACAAGTATTTTGGAAGTTAGTGAAGTGAGACTAGGTTATTTTCGTTTAATTATTTTTTAATAGTAGTATTTATGAAATGAAAGAACATTGCCGTTTTTTATTTTTTTATCCAAAAGTATTATTCTGGACCTTGCCCCAGCTGAATCAGATGTATGTAAACTGTGCCTTTCCACAAAGTTAATAATTCAACACATTAAAAGCTCATGAATGTGAGCACAGTGTCCAGTGTTTGCTTGACAGTAGGTGCATCATTTGTTTAATAAATGTTGAAAATCTATGATACATGTTTTTTTTTAAGTAGATCCTCTTGATTTGACATAAAAGGTTTTACCATTATTGATTTTGTTTTTCTTGATGCCAAAGAAAACACAAAAAACATATTTTTCTCTAGTTCGATATAAATGGTCGACAGCTCATTCTTTGCATTCACATTTGCAGCCGTGTTGCATAAATCACAAATCATTTACAAGAATAAACAAAGACTACACGGCCTTGTCACAGGCTATATATATATATATATATATATATATATATATATATATACATATACGCAGACTCAGGTTCAGAACCGGGTCGACCCCCAGCTCGAAGGACCTGCAACAAGCACACAGCAAAATGACTCAATAAAACTTAGATCATTATTTCACATTTTGACCATTGTTTACTAGAAAATATGCTATGGCTTTCAAAAAAATGCAGAATTCAAAACCTAATTCTGAACAAATACACACAAGATCAGAGTAATGGGAGACAAAAGAAGTTTTTGAAGTTGTCAAAGAATGACAGACTTTAGAAAGATTCAGAAGCACACTTGGCCATCCATCCATTCATCCATCTTCTTCCCCTTAATCCATTTCTAGGTTGGGGGGAGGCAGTCAGAGCTGCACCCAATTCACAGAGCACCAGCCCCTCACTGATCCTCCTGCTGGTGGTGAGTCCACAGGAGGACACACATGTCTGTGGGACCTTTTATCCCAGAGTTTGTTCAGTTTGTACAGAGTTCCTTTCAGACAGAATGAAATCAGGGTGTGTAAATCCTTGAAAAATGTTAGTATAGTCAAAACAACAGTTGTTCACAAAGTGATTATTAAAATGTCTCGTCTAAGAGAAAATGAATGTGAAGATTTTCATCCTCTACCAAGGAGGCCTTTCAACTTTTCTAAAATGTCAATACCTTTTTCAAACACTTCAGAGGATGGATGTCGTTTTCACAGATGTCTCCCATTGAATAAAAACAGTGATATTAAACTGCTCAACCAGGTCAAGGGTGTGTCCCTTGTTGTGAGTTGGCTATGTGACATGTCAAGTGTAATTAATTACACTTATTAGTGTCACAACTCAACTGTCCTGAACCTCAGCTGTGCTTTGCATGTTCTCCCTGTGCCTGCGAAGGTTTCTTCCGGGAATCCCGGTTTCCCCTACCACTACAAACATCTGCAATAGTTCAGGGTAAATGAATGAGTGTGTGTTTGTGAGTGCGAATGTGGGACAACGGATGCAAACTAGCCCATAGCTGCAATCCGGAGTGATGTGTTCATTAACATGTACTGTCCCAGCCCAATAAACAATAAATAAAAACATTAAAAAACTCGTTGGTCAAATAGTCTGATCACCTGCTCAAATAGTAATTATATTATATTATCTTAGTTGTTTGAAAATTAGTATAAAAATATTACTGATAAAATGTTGCTAAAAACAAGTGAATAATGTTCAAAACTATAGTTTTGGTGTTCAGAGCTGTACCTCCACGACAGTCTCTCATGTTGTAAATACAAAGTCTGTCTTCCACTTGTGTGTGTTCTCAAACTAAGTCATTAACAACAGTTTTATTCAAGAGGGAGTGTACATTCAGGAAGGGCAAACCTTAGATCAATGTACTTTTGGAAGGGATTTGTTTTTAAGGTAGTGAGAGTTGGTGAAGATGTCCTGGGTATAGACGGTCTGTAGAGAAGGAGGGCAGGGGCTGGGGCAGAAAGGGGCAGAAAGTTGGGGCTCGTGGTGGTGGGTTGTCAGAGGTCGGTGGGATGGGATTGATCTGCCTGGAAGTTGGAACTGTTCCAGGATTGTCATTAAAACCAAAACATGAGTGGAATGTCGAGCAGCCAGATGTTGATCGATAAAATTCTGCTTAAGTAAGTTTGTAAACTTGCTAAACGAGCTGAACTACAGTAAGTTGTTATTATGCTTGAACCTCGCGGGAGTAATTTTCTATTGAACCAGTTCTATAGAGTATCAGATGGCACACAGGTACACTTTGGTTACATCTCCATCTCCATCCATCTTCTACCCTTTAATCCATTTCTGGGTCAGGGGGGTGGCAATCAGAGATGCCACCCAAGTCTCATTGCACCAGCCCCTCACTGACCCTCTGCAGGTGGTGAGTCCACAGGAGGACGGCTGCTCTCTGAGTGTGAGCATAGCCTTGATCATTTAGTGAGGGCTTTGGGCAAAGTGGGGTTAAGTGTCTTGCCCAAGGACACAACGACAGCAGTCATCAGTGGGAGTCGATGGAGAAGGTGCAGAGGTGGGAACTTTGGTTACATCAGAACAATATTGTTAAAGAATTTCTGATCGTATCTTGTCTGTACAGAGAATCTTTCAGACGCCCTCAACACTCCCAGTTCACTATTGGCCTCCGTCATATTAAGTAACTGTCAACAGAATTCACTGTAGAGATGCCCTCTTTGATTACGACTAATAATAAACACCACAGATTGAATTTACTTTAGGTACATAGTGAGAACACATTTTCTTTTGCAGTAGAGAGGCAAAAGTCAAAGCAAAAACCACAAAATGAATGAGTTCTTACATTACTCTCTCATCACTTTAATCACAATATAAAAAAATAAAATGTCATTCTGTATAACATTCTTGAAAAAAACGGCAAAAAAAGCAAGGCAACACCTCCACAAAAGTTGTGCACATTAGTTCTAGTGTTTCCTGTAGCTCACATGGCAACTCACTGTATGTTAGCAACCATTACACTGTGCTAGTTGTAAAACCTGTAAGTGTGCCAAGGCCGTTCTGCACAGAAGCTGTAACATTCAATGGGTCATCCATGTCCTTTGTCACAGAATAGAAAGGAATGAAAAGTGATAATTGTAAGAATGCCTTAACACATCTACGGTCCTGGGCTTTAGCAGCTCATGTCATTTAGTGTATTTGTGAGGACATAACATTGGACGAGAAATTCACAGTTTAAGTCTTATTTGATCCAAAAAGCAGCGATGAGGACGATGAGAGCAGAGGAGAAGGTCATCCTGGAGCTAGCGTTGTGGGTCACGTCCTGCGCTGGTTGGATTCTTCTGTAGACGTTTGTCATGAATTGAGAACTGGTTTCGTTTCCGATACGCACAGTGTTGGCAAACATGTCGATCTATGCAGCAAGGACAAGTTAGTTGAACGTAGCAATGAAAAAAAATAAACAGCTCGGGGCGGGGCTTAATATCTTAACATACCAAGTTCTTGCTGATTTTCACCGGCTCCTTGAAGACAGTCCAGACAACAATCTCATGGCAGAGTGGGGTCGTGAGCGAGCCTTTGTAGCGGTAATACCGAGAGCGGTCCACTCCAGCCACCAGCTCATCCAGGGAGATCCCATCGGACACGTTAGCAGACTGGCCTGTCAAGACACATTCAAACACATTCATTTTTAAAGGTAACCATTCTCACCTTACCAGCGTTTCAAACCAACCCTTACTGCCCATACTTTCACTCATTTCTTACCTTTCAAGGCAATTTTGGACAAGTAGGAGGTGAGGGTCCTCCATGCGGCTGGCTCGTTTGTCGTATTGTCAACTGCCTAGAAATGAAATTATTTTAAATACACTTGTTTGAATTCCTCCTGAAAGAATACATCTATGATATAATGTCTTACTTCGATGAAGAATCCAAGGGCAGTTGCTCCGTCGGAGTCATCAAGCGCGAGAGTACTGTTCCCATTAAATTTGCTTTTAATGCTTACAATATGAAGCTAAAGAAAAATACACATGCATATGTTAGAAAGCATGCATGGATTTGTATTGAATTCCTTATGCGTTGGCCTATACCTCCATGGGATACCGCTTCCCATTCACAGTGTGCTCCGAGCCCGGGACAGAGGCTCCGTTCCCCCAGTGCAAGTGGAACTGGAGGCTGTCGTAGGTCACGTTCAGATTACCCCCAGACACCTTCACACCGCTGTTGAAACCCATCTTGACTGAAGGAAAAACAACCAGACGAGTGAAAGAGTGGTAATCAGACATCACTAATTATCCATGTAATCAAAGACACAGCAATATTACAGCATTTCCCAGAATTATTTCCAATATCCGTATATCTACTGTGCTATTATTATTATTATTATCATTATCATTATTATAAGGCTCAATATTTACTTGTTTCTCCAGTATTCTCAATCTTGTTGAACACAGACTTGTTGTCAAAATTAGTGAATGTGAAATTCCCCAGATTTTTATCCACTTTGGCGTTTGCAGGAACTATGTTAATTGGAGACTGCCGAGATCCATTACAAAATTGTGCAGCCCGCAGTGGCCACGTGGAGTCGTCTGTAAAAATAAAACCATGCAATGTACACACCGAGTACTAATAATAACGTATTGTTGTTTCTGCAGAATCAATCTTACCACATGTGGGGTCATGGTAGCACCAATCTGTGCAAATCAGAAAAGTATACAGTACATAGTTATTCATTTTTTGTAATAATAAAACAATAAAAGTATGTATTTGCACTTACGAAACGTTTCAGTGGCTCCTTGGGCCAATGGTGAAGTCACGCACAAAACAACTCCAACCAAAAGCCAAATCATTGTGTCTCTATGAAGAAGAAGATGATTGGAAATACAGAAACTGAAGGATTTTAACTGTAGACTATTGTTTGAGACAATAGAGTAAATGAGTATTATAGTCTGATGTTGTTATCTGTTATCAGGCACTACCTGTGAGCTGATGCACTGATGCACTGACTCTGCACCTGTCTCTGTGTCTCGATGACTGCCTTGACTTATAAAGGACCAGCCCATGTCCCAGTGGGCTGGTCCTGAACTCAGCAGTCCATCTACAACACTGGGAAGGCTCATGCACACGTTAATTAGAAAATAGTTTCATGGTTCATTTTGGATTTGAACTTCTGTCCTAAAAACTGTGATAAACTTTTCTGCAGTTGTACAGTTTTCAGTCCAGCTGATTTATAGGTTTTTAAATATTACATATGACACACATTTCACTAAAACTAAATTAAAACACAGTAAAAAAAAAAAAAAAATCTATTATTGTCTTATAATATAAAAAATAATATCAATTGAATTTTTTCATGTAATCCCTCAATCAATGATCAATCACATGTACCTTGTACAGGAAATGTGTATCTTGTTCTGTAGTTGTCCTGTTTCCGGTATTGTTTTGTGATTTTGATGTTAAATGTGAAGTTTTACATCTGTTTAGGGACAACAGATGGAAATTAGCCTACGGCTAAAATCTGACATATTTACATATTTTTATATGTTCATTAATATGTCCCATTCCAACGTAAATAAATGAAAAAAAATACCAACAATACATCGTACTTATAAAGAGCTTTATTTGGACACTTAAAGACGCTTTATAGAAGAAAAATAAAAAACAAAAAAAGGACAAGCTAGACACTAAAGCTTCTCTGTGGACAGTGAATATAGCTTCAGAGTTTTATTTTATTATTTTAAGTAATTGATGCTGTATGACGTGTGCATAACCTGACTGCTCTTATTTCCTTATTTACTTTTTGATTACATGACTGTTTTTATAGATTTCATGTGATTTTATTGTAAAGCACTTGGTCGCCTTGAAGCCTTTAAAGGGCTGTATAAGAAGAAAAAAAAGTATTGTATTGTGTATAATGATATAAATGGGACAAATAGAGGCTTATTTGATCCTATCTCTTATTCCTCCTTCCTGCTTCACGGCAATCCTTTCCACGCCAAAGTGTCGTGCCAAAAAGTGTGTTTGAAATATGTCCAAAGTGCTCCAACAAGTCCAAAGCAAAGTGCAAAGTGGTGCAAAAAATCAAAAACAAATACAAAATGCTTCAAGAAAGAAATTAACGCTCACATAATATTCTCAAACTCATTAACATCGAATAATTCTGATTTTTTTTCACAGACATTGACAGAACTTTAGCAGATCCGAGTTAGATCAACAAAACATAAGTTGTGCCGATGAGAGCAGCAGAAGCAGAAGCGTGTACTGATGCACCCCACTCGCCGCCGAAGTGTAGACGGTGCGGTTGTGCAGCTTCTGTGTAGGTCGGTACACGTTGTGATAACCCATTTTAGTCGGGAACAGCTTCATCTGATGGGGCAGAAAAGACACAGATGTTAATTCAGCGAACAATATTTAGTTTAATCAAAATAAGAAAAAATATGTGAAGAGTTTATGTGCCAAAACAGATTTCTCCATTTTGAAACATTGTCAATATATTGTGCTGCTCTTGTGACGATCTTCAAAATGTTCTGTAAAAGGCAGGACACTAGACTGAATTAGTTTTGTACGGCACTGCAATAGATCTGCTCTGATTTATGGACATTTATCATTCAAAGTTTGTGCAAATACAATCAAGATATTGTTGTGATTCAGGGCGATACAAACAGAAACTGATTTGAATTGAATCTGGCTTTTCACAAAACGTAAGAGAAAAAAATGTAAACTATTGCGTATAAATTATACACAAATATCGTGATAGATCATCTTTGTGACAGTGGGAGATTCACAGTGACTTCTCCTGGAATCCAATCGCTCTGGAACAAATATCTGCTGACGAATCCAGCCGTCTTATCGTGACCTGCCCTTATGGAGAGTGTCGTGTGTGGAGCAGGTGACTGCGGTTGTTGCCATTCTTGAAATAGGTTCCATTCTTTTGAAGATGTACACAAGCCGATAGAATATCAGGGTTTAGATGCAGTGTCAGAACACTCCCAGAGTTTATTTCCTGATTGTTGTGCCTGTTTGAAATATTGTTTTGTACATGGAACTCAATTAATCTTTTGAATGCGCTGGAAACAGAAGCAAGTCCTAAAGTCTCTCTGAAACACTTGTTCTAGCTGTAAATGTCATTTCAGTACAGTGTTCATGGTTTTACACTGATCCAGACCAGAGCAGAGAGGATTCACGCTCCAAGGCAACCAAGCCGACCAAGCCATCCACTGGAGGAATGCTTTTTTTGTTGTTGAAAAATGATAATGAAGCATTCAGAATTTCACCCTGAACCAGAGCAGAGAAAATGGTCTGAACCAATCAGACTCTGACCAAGCAGCTTATCCCCAGAGGCTAAACCACCTCTTCTGCTGTAGCTCTTTATAACTATTATCAATAACTTTTAGAATAATTTATGAGTTATTTGTTTGTATGGATGTGTCTCTGGTGCAGGACACTTGAATTTCTCCTAGAGGGATAAAAAAAAAAAAAAAGGTATCTATCTGCCTATTTCAAGGGCTTTTCATATTTAAAATGCACGTTCCAATCATCGAATTGGTGATATTTTTCTTTGACCTCATAGAAAGACAAACAAAGCGTCCTGCAAACGCGGACATGTACGCACCAGGCTGTGATCGACCTGGACGGCGTGCTTAAACACAGTCCACACCACGGCCTCGTTGCAGCTGGGCGTGGTCAGGGAGCCGTTGTAGCGGTAGTACGAGCCGCGGTCCACATCCCCCAGCAGGTCATCTATGGACACCTTCTCTGAGAACGTCATATTATTTCCTACAAACACAATTTGCTGACTTAAAATTGGACTATTTGTGATTCTGAAGTGAACGATTGATGTAGGAGAGACAGTACCTGTGTGTGGAATTTTACTTAGATAGTTTGTGAGGAGTTTCCAGGCCTCTTTGGATGAGGGGCTGGGTTCATCCTTCAATACATAATCATGAGTCAAAATGATGTCACAATGATCAATGCTGTTTTCATTTGAGCTGCTAAGTTCTTACAGGAGTTGACGGTTCTTCTCCTCCTCCTCCTCCACTGCTTTTTGTGCCAGGAGCCTTGAAAACAGTAGTAAAATATGAAGAGCAACAGAACGTGACAGAGCCAAACTGATTTTTCCCGCTACCTCGATAAAGAACGCCAACACTGCCAGGCCATTCCCCTTCTTCACGGCTTCATCCAGGGTCAGGTCTTTCCTTTTTGTCACGATGTGCATCTGGAAACAGTGAGACAGAGACATGATTTGGATTTTTTAAAATCGAAATCGAACAAAATTACGTCATGGTCTCAATCATCGAAATCAAAGAGAGGCTCGACAATCACCCCGGGTTAAAAGACATCAGGGAGGTGTGCAAAGAGGTAAAAGCACATGGCGACGCAGCACATTGTAGCCGACACCACTAGCTAGCTAACCTGCAGTTTATGACACCACGGCGAGTGCAGATGAAGGAGACGCGACACCAGAGCTTGAAGCCGCTCCTGCTTCTCTTAAATCACCAGTGTGGACAATAATTGCGTTCCCGGTGAGTTATGTCAACAAGCAGACCACAGTGTGTAAGATATGCTATGTGCGTGTTCCAGATACACGGCCACGGGAAACACTACGAACACGGCACAACACTTTTGCCGGTCTCACAAAGATGTAGATTTGACAACTGGGAAAACGCCATCACTGGTCCAGCCAACTACTCCATCCTCATTCGCAATAAAACTTCTACAACTAACGCTATAGGGTTAATTGTAGCATCAGTACTGCAGCCTTATTCAGTGTTGGAAAACGCTGGATTAAACGCAACAGTACGCTATAATGTGCTGTGAGAAAAAAAAGTAATCAAGAATCAAAACAAATCGTGACCCAAAAATGTAATGGGGATTTGGAGGACCGTGACAGGCCTAGTAAGGGTCTGCGTACCTCCATGGGGAACCTTGTAGAGTCGACTTGATGCTCGGATCCGCTGTTGGAGCTGGAGTCTCCCCAGTGGAAATGGAACTGAAGCGCCACATAAACATGGCCCAGGCCTCCCCCCGAAACCTCCACCAGGTTCTCCTTCAGCATACATTTCACTGCAGAACACATTGTTATGGTTCACATAACAATGATCACCTCAGCTGGTACCACAGCTGAGGTGATCGTGGTCATTCAGAGAGAACAAACCTGTATGGCCGGTGTTTATGACAAGCTCAATGACATGTTTGTCGTCAAAATTTTTAAAATGGAAGTCATCAAGGTAGTTGTTTACCATTGCATCTTTGGAGCTAATGTCAAGAGGGGACTGTCTGCTTCCTGAGCAAAAAGAGTTGTCCAGGTTGCCCCAGTGGTCTGGACTATAATCTGAAACAGTAATGAAGAATATGGGTGCTTGATAGAGTTTTCCCCAAACTACCAAACTATACATTCATACCACATCCATGCTGGTGGCTGACGTCGCTGTAGCACCAATGAGCTGCAGAGAAAACGCATTAGGAACATGAAAGAGTTTCCTGACAGAGTGTGGAATGTGACGCACCAGGCGGGAGCTGGACGGCGGGAGACGCATGGACCACACGACCTCCAAGCTCCTGTTTCGGCCGGTACACGTTGGAGAGCTTTGTTTTTGTGGGAAAGTGCTGCAGCTGAAGAAGAAAAGTCTGTTTTTATACTGGTGTAAGATTTCTCAAAACCATAGCCTTTAAATATTAGTCTTAAAAAATATGGCCTTTTAACTGTGAATATCTTTAAACACATCTTTATAAGGCATCAGGGTGAGTGTTATTATAAAACCTTATTTGTTTGCATTATATATTGTGTATTTTAAAGTTATTTTATCAACAATCTGTGGACGAGCAGTCTGTAACCGCTCCATTGTTGGTCGCAGCCTCTCCCTTGATGATTATCTGATCACACCTCACATACTGTTGTCAATCTTCCTCTGAACTCACTCTGTCACTGGAGCTTCTCTTTTGGTTTTATGGATGAGCGTGTCTCAAATGGTGGGCCACGAACCAAACCTGAGTCGCGAGGTGATTTTAAGTTTTAAGATTTTAAGGATGAGAACCTTTCCTGGGAAACACAAAAATATGTACCTACACTACAGATAAAGTAAATTAGAGAAATGTCAAATTTTTGTATTGATTAAGCTGATATTAAAAATCTAGAAAGAATAAAGAAACATCTGAATCCACTGAAAAACTAGATATAAACTTGATTTACAAGAAATTAAATGCCCCATTGGCAGGTTTCTTGAAATTACTTAAAATAGAGTTAAGTTTTTACTGGTACATATCATTCTGTATTTTACATGATTAAAACTCAGGTCAGGAAGTGACAGTGCAGTGGAGTTCAGTGTCAGTCACATGATACGCTTCAAACTGGAGGCGTAATTGTTCATCTGTCTCTGCCTTTCATCAGATAGAAGTGCCAATCTGATTTAAGTCACCTGAGTTTCTTCATACGAAACCAACAAGCTGCAAATGTTTTTGTGTGACATGTGACATACCAGATCAGCGTGGACGTACACGGGCTCCGCAAAGACGGTCCACAGCACCACTTCATTGCACATGGGCGTGGTCAGCGAGCCTTTGTAACGGTAGAACTTGGTCAAGTCCACATTCCCAATCAAATCATTCATAGAGATGGCCTCTTTCAGATCCATGGTGACTGTGGAACAACAATGTATTTAGTTACAATGAACCAGTGTGTATGTGTGTGTGTGTGTGTGTGTGCGTGTGTGTGTGTGTGTGTGCGTGCGTGTGTGTAATTTCAATACTTCATGTTAATAAGTTCTAAAAATGGTACTTTACTACTGTATTTGTCTGAATATCGCTGCTGCATAATTTGGTGAAGGCGAGGGCCGTTCATCATCACTTGCGGCTATTATTTTATATTCTCACTAAGTCAACTGTGTTTTTGTATTAGTTTTACTTAGGAGGACACCGGGTGATTTCTTTTGAACAATATTTAGACTCCACTGCACAGACCTGAACCTGCAGCTCTGAGCCTATAACTTATAAGTGAAAAAACTCAAGGTGAGTTATGTGTTTTGTCAATAGAATATTTAATTGCACTATAGTTAATCACCCACTGATTTAAAAGCTAAAAGAATGCTAATTAGCGCATAGTACTATATGGTTCAACAACTCTTAATTGGTATTTATGAAGCACTTAGTAGTCCCTATTCTACATGGCCTTACTCGACATCTAACTACTAACTGACACCATGTGGGTTAGAGTTTGGGTTAAAGTTTTCCATTAGGGTTAGTGTTAGGGCTCGGGTTTGGGTTTTTCCATTGAAGCTAGGGTTAGGGCTATGGTTAATCAGAATCTGAACTAGTTTATTGCCTTCTGAGTAACAAGAAACAAACTGGAAAATTCCTTCGGCTCTCGATGCAAACAAGTTAAAGCTATGGCTATAAGGGCAGGGATAAGGGTACATTAATTGGTACTTAATTAACTGTAAATTACTAAGGGCTGATCTTAAGTGTTCCCACAGACCCCAGTCCACTCATGCATGCAGAGAAGTTCCCAGCCTCTACCTTTCGAACTGTTCAGATGAGACGTGAGCTTGCCCCAGTGCTCTGACTTGTTGATGTTGTCCATAGCCTGTCAAAAGCCAAACCGTTCCTTTTGATATAAGTGCACGATTTTCAAAAATGTTTAAATCCAGGTGAGTGCACATACTTCTATGAGGAATCCCAAGACTGCGACTCCCTCTGGGTCCGCCGTAGCCTGTTCAAGCGTGTAACCCTTCTTCACACTCACGACATGCATCTACAAAAGAGAATTAGTAAAGAAAGCTTTGCGGAATATGGATATTTAACCATATTTTAGTTGGTACACTGGAAAAAATGACAAAATAGGAGGTAATAATTGCTTGAATTTAGATTATTTTCTTAATTTGAAGACATTCTGACAAGATTGGCCAATGGGACCAAAGCCATTGAAGTTTTTTTTTTCATTCTAAGGGATCTTTTTAAAACAAGATAATTTTTGCTTTGTCCCATCACTCAAAATTAAATACAGGTTTAGATAAAAGATACTGCTCTGTAACTGGCGATGCAACACTGAAATTTCCTCACTGTGGGATGAAAAATAGATGTCTGAAATTAAAATATGTTTAGCCAAATTTGAGCCATTTTTGACTTTTACTTTCACCACTTTTTGCAGTGTATGGCCTGTTCGCACACCTCCATCGTAAATCTTTTGCCCTGGATGAGGTGCTCTGAGCCGGGGTGATGTTCCGTGTCGCCCCAGTGGAAGTGGAACTGCAGGGCCGTGTACGTCCCCTTGAGTCCCCCGCCGTGAAATTCCACCGCGTCTTTCATTAAATGTACTTTTGCTGCGATACATAAAGCCTCACGTGTAAGTCCGTTCATTAGAGTAATTTAAAATACATTCACCGTTCTCCCACCTGTGTCTCCGGTGTTCTCGATGCTTTTAAAGACGTCACGATTCGAGAAGTTGGCAAAAGAGAAGTTGCCCAATTGTGCGTTTGTTTTGACTTGGCTTGGCACAATGTCGATCGGAGACTGGCTGTTGCCCCCACAAAACGAATTCTCGATGTCTTTCCAGTGATCTGGCGTTAGAACTTGGATACAAATAATACAAAGCAACGTTATCTTTCAGTGAATCTGCAAAATAAAAACATGGATCCCTCACCACAGCCGGTGTAGCACCATTCTACGCCATTTGTGGAGGCGCCTGTGGAGAGAGACACAGTTAGGTTTAGGGTAAGTGCAATAACAAACTGTACTTTAGACTTTCTGATGTGCAAGATCCATGAAAACATTTTATGCCATCAAAAAATGAAAGTCAAAAACATTTATAAAAGTCCGTTTGCCCTAACCAGTGTTAAAAGTGTTAAAATCCAGTCTGAATCAATAAGTTTTGAGCCTTGATTCAAAAAGGCCAAAATCATTGAGCACTCGCAGATCAGGGGCAGTGTGATCCAGAGTCTGGTCCAGGACTGAGAAGGACTCTGTGCTTTGATGTCCTGTTATTAACTTTTTCTTTTTTTTTGTCTTCTTTTCTTTTTTTCCTCTGGTCCTAGAGTCTGATGCGGTTCTCGCCTGTGTCTGTTTTTGTCTGTTAAATGTTTAAAGTTTAATGTTGATGTGGTTTAAGCAAATGTCTGTGATGTAAAACATGTGACCCCCAGTCCCAAGACAAATGACTGTATCCAATGGGAGACGATAAAGAAGTGTCTTTGTTAAATGAAAAATATTCCTCAAACCTGCAACGCTCCAGCACAGGGATAGCACCGCCGCTAAAATGTGCATCTAAATACAAACAAAAAACACAACTCAAAATTAGAACTTTTTTCCCATTTCTTGTATCAGCAAAGTGAAAATCTTACCTCGTCTCTTTTGGGGAGGTCCTGATGGAGAATGACTGAGTGTGTTTCCAGCGGCTCATATAGAGGAGGTGAGGTGCATAGTGGGAGATGGTTCTGTGTACACAACACATCATGTATGTGGGAGACACAACCTCACCCTCTGTTCACAGCCTCAGGACAAACACACACACTTAAAGGTGGGGTACCCACACTTTTGTTGTTGTTCATAGATTATAAACATAATGTTGTTTGTCCCAACAGAAAGATAAAATAAAGAAGATGTTTTACAAAATCAGAACAATCAGACAACAACCATGTTTACAGACCACAGACTGTAAACATGACGGGATTTTGTGTGTAAGTACCTGTCCACACACACACTATTCCCATAGGGATTTCAACATGTATTTGTAAAAGCTTGACCGGAGCCAATTAGCTGAGTGGTTAGCAATGGGCACAAGAACTGCATCATATAAATGTAAGTACATGTATATTTGAAATATAAGTGTTTTCATACATATGGTTTATATTTAGACTACTTTTAACCACATGCTTTCATATGAAAGACAGATACCGTCAGACCTCTGAAGCTAAGCAGGGCAGGGCCTGGTTAATACTGTGATGGGAGACCAGAACACGGTGGGGCGGCTGCGGTTGTAAAGTGACAAACTGTCGTTGTGTCCTTAGGCAAGACGCTTCCCCGACATGAGTCGTGTGTGTGTGAATGGTCGGTAGTCAAAGTGCCCCAGGGCAGATGTGGCTACAGTAGTTTATTACCACTTTGTATGGAGTGAAAGAATATTGACATGTGAAGCTATAAAACCAATGCATAATTATGATTATGATTGAGCCTGAGGAGAGAGAGGCAGAGGCTGAGAATACATGTGTGAGAAAACACACATGATAGAACCAAACCGGTTTATCACAAGATTGATTTATTGCATTCCATTGTGGTTTAAGTGACAGTGAATATTTCAATCAAAGGTCATAAATTTCCAGTAAGTCTAATAAAAGTTATGAATAAGCTTCCTCTCTCCATCTCTGTTTACAGAAACAGACGGAGCGTGTTTTGTTGTGTCAAAAACACCTATTGTCATTTTCAACCACCTCTTTGAAACATAATCTATTGATGACTGTAAGAAAAGTCTGCCGTAGCCTCAGTGACATCTGAGAAGCAGGCATTATGACGGATAAAGGACGCTGCTTTTTTTCTTTTTTTCTGAGAAGGTTTCAGGCGTTGCTGTGTCAGGAGCGGTTTCAGCCTCGTGTGTAGTTTCTGTCATGGTTTAGGTTTTTGAGGCACTTTGTTTCCTTTGTCTCTGCCTCCATTGTGCTCACCTTCCCTGTCGTGGACCAGTGTCTCTTTAGTCGCAGTATTTAAACCCTCTGTAAACACACAACTATAGATTTCTTGCACTGGATTTTTTTTTTTTAAGTCTGAGATGTTATACTTAACTCTAGCTTCTTTGTTAAACTTAAGCAAGAGATTTTATACTTGCTTCTTTAGTATGCTAAAGTTAGAGATTTTATTTTATTCTAGTATAGATTTATTGTTCTCTCATCTTGTGTTGTGTACTGTTCTGTAACTGGCGATGCAACACTAAAATTTTCCCACTGTGGGACAAATAAAAGCTCTCTCTTGATATCCCAGTCCTTCATTCCCTGTTCCATCACTGACTTTCCTTCGTCTTGTCCCTGTTTTTTATATTTGGGGATTTTTAGTTTTTATTTTGACTGTGCCGTTCTATATCATTAAATTACACTTTAACTTGCAGTCCTGTGTTTTGAGTCTTTGCATGAACATGAACGTGAGGCTGTGATTCTGGGATTAAAATGAACCAGTGTGGGCTATAGTTTAATACTTATTTTTAAAAGTACTTTATTTCCTATGAGTGATCACAGTTATCATTCCCGTCTGTTTTTCATCTTAAATATCCAAATCTGTCTTTCTCCATCAGGGCGAGCGATCACTGACGTCAGGCCGGTTCCTGAGTGTTTATCTGTGTTTATTTGGAATGTATATTTTTTATTCAGTATAATGTTGCACTGTAGAGAAAAGCTCAACCAGGGACAGGAGTAGCATTAGTTATACACTCTGTATGTGTCGCATCAGCTGCATCTTTCCTGATGTAACTATGTACAGTATGACTACATTGTCCCTGTCAAATAAAAATAAATAAAAACAAAATATATAAAAATAAAGCAGAACAAAACAATCAAGATACAAACGTTAAATTTGAAAAGAAAATGCAGTTTGATAACGACAAATAAAGAATGCTTATTGGTCTCCATCCCCCTCGTTCACACAAACATACAGACGGACACGCTTACGCACACACACACATACACACACGCACACACACACACACACACACACACACACTCACACATGCGCAGACACTGCAAAAAGGCATGAAAAATAAGTAACAAGTTGCTCAAATTTTGCGAGATGTTTCTTACTTTGAGCCCATTATGACTGCCCTAAAACAACATTTCCCAATGGGACAAAGCAAAAAGTATCTTAAAGATGCAGTCAGTGATTTTTTTCCAGATGCATTTTCTTTAAATATTGTTTAAAGAAACCCCTAAAAATAGTCAAGTTATCATATGTTTTCAAAAAGTAATGGAATTGACCAGATGCCTTTAGTCTACAAAAATGAATAACAAATAACCGATAAAATAAACCAATGGGATGCGTTGGGTGAAGGGTGAAGGGCGTCTTGTTTGTCTTGTTCTGCTGTATTCACCCTTCACCCTCTTCCTGTTTCTCTCGAGTGCACCGGAGCTATCGGATTTTCTAAAACCTAAAAGGACTGAACAGAAAATGCCAATTTCACATTTGCCGCCCACTCTCCCTGCTGTGACAAAGAAAAGAAAATGCTTTATGTTTGGTTTGGTGGAGAGGGAGGGGAGGGGGGAGTGGTTTCGAGTTGGTGCTACGGCTAAGCTAACAACACTGCTCACTGCACCTTTAAGTATCTAAAAAAGATGTAATAAATGTCTCACTTGGAATGAGAAAATAGAGCTAAAGTTCTCGAAATAAGCATCAACGGCTTTGTCCCATTGGAAAATCTGGTTTTAAGACAATCAGAATGTGCTCATTAGATTTACAAAAATATATAAAACAATGTTTGATTCAAGTTATCATTACCTCATAATGAATCATTGTTTGCAGTGCACACACTTATTTATTTATTTGAGAGGATAAACCCCTTGAGATGCATCATCTCGTTTACAAGAGGGTCCTCAAAAGAATTACAAGAAGCAAAAACACAAGACAGAAAACAGCAGTACAGACTCAGAACCAAAAAATAATAATAAAGTAAAATAAAAAAGAAGGGATGAAAAACAAAAAAAACAAAACAAAAAAACAAGCGACAACAAACACACACACACCGACACTCACACAGCTCTAAAGTAAACAAAAACAGTTCAGAACATTGTAGAACACGCATTTCAAAAACAATTACAAGGCGTCTGTAGATAAGACCGAAGGGTATTTTTATACATATTATAGGAGGTTATAGATCGGATAGAGGCAGGAGATTATTCCAGTCAAGAGGTGCTTTATGGTGAAATGAAAATTTACCTATTTCTTTTCGAATTTGAGGAACAAAAAATAATTCATTTGCATGTCTTAAGTCGTAAAAAGAACTAAATTGTGTAAAATATTGTTTCAAATAATCAGGATAACTGAGATTAATGCATTTAAAAATAAATAATAGCCAGTGAAATTGTCGTCTGGAGGATGGAGTGAGCCAAGAGAGATGTTCAGCTGACAGTGGTGAGTTCTGAAGGGACAACGGAGAATAAACCTACAAAGACTATTATAAATAACATTAAGTGGCTGAAGATTTGTAACAGAGGTGTTTTGATAAACAATATCACAATAATCAAGAATGGGAAGTAAAAGTTGCGTGACAATCCTCTTTCTCACTGAGAAACTAAAGCAATTAATAGATTGATAAAGTAATTTCAAACGATATGTGATTTTATTGGCAACAGAATGTATGTGAGAATTAAAAGAAAGGTTGGAGTCAAGCATGGACGTCGGAACTATTTTCTGAGAGGGGGGGCGGGTTTTTGTTGGGAGAGTCGAGGGAGAGACTCATACTTGGATTACACTGGATAATAACATACCATCTTAATTGTTAAGAAAAACAAAAGAAACAATATATATCAAGGAAGTCACTTATCAAACTGAACTTTTTTTTTTTCAATACGCATTCATGCGTCAGTCTCTCCGGTGGCTTCATTGTGTTGTGTAGCCCAGTGACGTGCGGTCAGATGAGGCAGGCAAGGCCCTCACCTAAGATCATAGAAAGAAAAGTAATAAAATGGATACAATAATGTTTGGTCACTTTATCAAGTGATTTGTGCTGTGCCTTATTTCATTTATTTATACCTTGAAATCGCAGATTTGACAGAGCGGTGCTGTGAGGCGAGCCTCTCTTGGGAGACGTAAAAAGCAACAGCTCACAGGGAGAGTCCTGTGAGGTGCTATCAAACTGTTTTCTCTGTTTATCACAGTTTAAAAAGTTCAAAAATATTTAATTTACAATCAACATGTTTACATTTAAGAGGATGGCTCATAAATTGTGTTTTTGAAGCAAATATGGGTCTTAATCGCGCTCAACCACAGCTTGTAAGTGAGGAAAGCCTCAAGGGGGCGCTTTTGAGCCCAAACTTTGGCTGCATCCAATTCCATCAGAAAGCTCCTTTCTTGTTCTTCTTCTGCTAAGGGCAGCTACAGGTTTGGCTAACATACCTATAATACATTTTAAGATAATTTAAAATGCACTTAGAGTAATGTTTTGCTTCCAATGATGATATGAATCATAAGAAAAGGAGGTGAAGGGTAAGGTTGAATTTAGAAATTGGATTTACCCGGGAGTCGGCTGCAGCAAAACTCGGAGTTTACGGAAGAGACACCCGTTTTTTTAC